GGTGTATTTTTTTAAGGTGGATAATGTATTATATCGTTATTATTCTGTTACAATAAGGTTGGAACCTTGAGAAGATGTATTGCTTCAGTTTTTTACTTCATATGACAGGATAGTAGCAATAGTAACATACCTTTTCCAGACCCGGCCCGCGCTAGCAAAGTATATTATGAATATTCTGGCCACACTGGTATTTTGATTTTTTTTTTTCTAATTTATTTTTGAATCATAGAGGTGCACAAAGCAAAATATAGTTGTTGTTCTTTCACTTGTATGCAGGGGTTTAATTTTTGCTTTTCCCCTTATTGTATCTTGATCTAATTGACCTTTTGAAGGCTACGAGGAATTAACATTGGATGAAAGATTTGGATTTTGAATATTAAGAGTTTCTTTTTCTTTCTTTGAGGCAATAATTTTTCTCCTGGAGACTATATGTGCTGCAGTGTTCTGTACTTTGGTTGTAAGATAAGGTTTGCTGTTATTGTTCACTACTTTGTAGTAAGATACGTTTGCTGCAGGAGACAGGGTAGATAGAGATTCTGTAGTGTAGTATTGTTTCTTGTGATATTGTCAAGAACTTTCAGCCTTCCAATTTAGACATCATTTTCTTTTCAAATATGGGCTTGTGAGACTCTGACTTGTTAGTTTAGGTTTGTTGCAGTTGGATCGCATGGGAGACAGAAAAATTCCATCTTTCAGCCTCCCGATCTAGACATCAGTTCCTTTTTAAAGATAGCTGAGAATCTGACTTGTTAGTCTAGGTTTGTTGCAGCTGGGATTGCATGGAAGACATAAAAATTCCATCATTGATAATTCATAATTTATAGAGATGAACGCTCCTCAGCCTCTCACTTATCTTTCATGTGTAGGTTGAATTTTTCGTTCTAAGCCAAAAAGCCATCGTGATGCATGGTGAATCTTCTTATCAAGCTAAATCGACCAGCATTATGATGTGCGCCTCCTGTTAATTGCAAATCTGTATTAACCCTAGCAGGATGCATTCTAATACAGAAATATAAATGAAAACATTTCATTGGCAAATCCTGGTCCTTTCAGTGTGTCAGCTAATTCTTATCAGTTCAACTTTGGGTCTAGGATAACTATAAGCATGGGTAATATGCTAGTTTAGAGTTGTCCAATTCATGGTGAAAACATTGACGTGAGTGACTTATTCACGATTTGTGAAAACAAGTGTGGCAATTGTGAGAACCAAATCCTGATTATAGCAAGAATAAATTATTTAACCTGATTCAGTGTGCTGCGTACTACTGTAAAGCTGAACAACTTTCGGTGTGAAGAATCATCTGGTTATGGCTTAGTTATCATGTTTTATTGATTGTGACTAATGTGAAGGATCGCATTTCCCAATACCAATATTTCAGAACACTGCATCAGTTATTAGAAATTCCAGAGTTTTTAGAATATGATTGCAAAGATTTATAAATTCTTGAAGGTTTATGCATTCAATTGCCATTCACAGACCCATCCTTTGCGTATTGCTGATAGTTATCTTTTCCTGTGTACATGAATCCTGGAAGATTGATTTATTTTCTTCAAAGTGTTTGTTCTTTACTTGTAGTAGAAATCAACATTAATTAATTTAACTCTTTTTTTCAGAGAGGGTAAAAAAAATTACTCCTTGAACCTTACAAGTTATTTTGTATATAAGTTAATTCCTCATATGATTTTAAAAGTCAGTAATATCTAACGGTGAGAACTACCAGGGTTTCAGGAAAACTGATGCAGATCGCTGGGAATTTGCCAATGATGACTTTATCAGAGGTCAAAATCATTTACTGAAGAATATATTGAGAAGAAAACATCCACATGTTGCAGATCAGCGAAAGCCATCACAGCAGCAAGAGAATCGTGATGTGCCTTCTCAAGAAGTTACAAACCATGACCTATGGAAAGAAGTCGAGAATTTGAAAACTGATAAAAATGCACTCACACAGGAGCTGGTTAAACTTGGGCAGCACCAGGAATTATCTAAGAACAAATTGCTCCTCCTGACCAATCGGCTTCAAGGAATGGAGAAGAATCAGCAACAGATGTTATCGTTCTTAGTCATGGCCATGCAAATCCCTGGGTTCATGGTTCAGCTGCTTCAGCCCAAGGAAAAAGGTTGGCGTAAGACTGAGACAAGCAATATGTTGGAGCACAGTGTAGAAGATGTCGCATCTGATGGGATGATAATGAAGTATCAGCCACCCTTGAGTGAAAAATTGAAGCCTGTAGTTACATCATCTCGTGTTTCAGATGAGCAACCAGAACCCAATCTCTGTACAGATGGGTTGAAAGATTATTTTATCAATTCTGACTTCTTAAAAGTACTCATGGATGAAAAATTGTGTCAAATAGATAATTCTCCATTTATTCTACCAGATTCACCCGATGATAATGCCTGGGAACAGCTTCTTTTAGGCAGTCCCTTCACTGAAAATGAAGATTCAAATCAGGAAAGTGACAGGCCCACCAACAGTGGAATGGAGATCGAGCCTGCTATATGCGAAACACTGTTTGATAAATTCCAAAATTGTGTTGGGTTGATTCCAGAAGTGGACAAAACTGGGAAGAGTGGATTGGAAGGATCTGCTAATGGTGTTCATTTGGAACAGCAGCAGAGTTTGGAATCTCTAACTGAGGAAATAGAACTTTTGGCTTCTGAGGCAAATGAGAAGTAGGGGAATAAATATATAGCGCCAGACAACTTTTGGTTATCTACATTAGTATTGTACTTAGATATAATCTAAGAATTCCCACTTCCATCTTCCTTCCATTGGTTTGATCTTCATTTAAAACCAGTGTGAGTCTGCTACTCATTCACATGTTTAGGTATATAACTGCAAGAGATATGGACACGCGCACACAAAATGTAACCTTTTTTTTTTTGTTTACTATTTGTAAATCCAAATTCTGTCAAAGGATTAATTCTCATTTTGGTCATCTGACAGATTTTGGCGTTCTGATAATGTGGACAAGTACAGGGGGAATTACTCGGTAATGTTGTGACCAGAAATGTTATTTTGAATATTACGGCAGTTAAATTTGTCGGTTGACTAGAGAAAATGTTATGCAAAGAGCTGTATTTATTGTGCCACTCTGAGCAGCGGCCTATGGCTTCACAAATATTTTATTACTTTTTATGTCTTTCTGCATATGAATCTCTATGATACAATTTTCTGTTTTGGTAGGCACCAATCTCAACATTAAAACTTCTAGTTTATCAATATTCCCATCCTCTTGTCTGGCAAAAAGGAGAGATGCCTTCATTTTGTATGTCTACTATTCATAATTTATCAATAATATTTTTTTGGTCCTAAATATAAGATCTATTTAATGAGTTTTACATTTAGGACCAAAAGAATATCAATGTTTGTGCGTGTAATCATGATGATAATGATGATTTTAAGTGCTGATAGACTTCATCAGTCTTGTTTGGGGTCCAGAAGAGAATGGAATCAGAAGAAAAATAAATGAATTTCAAAGAAAAGGTTGTGAACTTCTTCAGCAATGATAAGAAAGGCACAATGACTATTATTATACTCTTCTAATTCTTAACATAAGACTTAATTGATTAATTTAAGTAGATTAAGTATGTTAATTAAGTTAGTTGTCATGATATTTTTTTTTTCTGAAATACTCTTAGTATCTTTCTTAATTTCATCCCTTCCTCTCATATTTGATTATTGTTATGGAAATATTAACAGGGTTAATTTGGAAAAAAAATTAATAAACATATAAAATAAATTTTATATATAGGATTAACATTAACTTTTCAGTTAGATTTTATATTAAGGACAAGAGGAATAGTAATTTTTCCTCCTCTACTTTTTTTTAACTGAGCAGCCATAGAACGGCTATCTTTTGTTGGTCAATTTTTATTGCTAAGAGATATTGCAAGTGTCATATGGTATGATGAATAAAGACATTAACCGTTTAGTATGAGTATGTCTCTGTATACAATGGTGTTTTCGTTTCAAGCGTTTTGTCCTGCTCTTGATTAGTTTGCGATGAAAATAAGAAGGGGGAAAAAAGAACAACTATTAATTTCAAGTTTCACATTCTGCATCAAACATAGAACGCGGTTTACTGTATACAAGTTGTTTTAACTGTGATTTGTGTTAATTCAGATAAGTTTATTTTAAGTGATTATATCTTGTACCAGATAAATATATAAAAAGAATGTTGTTTCTTAAAATACAAAAAATTATATATAATGAAACTAAACGAGCTGAGTTTAACTAATTAATTTTTTTAAAATCCAGTACGGTTGACTGCATGCAAGTCGTAAAACTGTATGGCTTATTGTTTGGTCCTTGAAATTAAGTATTTTAACAAACTTAACTCTTTAAAACTCATCCAGTCATTTAAAGAAGGACTAACATAAAATCTAGTCAACCACAAAAGATGAAAACATGTAGAGTCTGTAACTTAAAAGGAGCTAATTTTTTTGAGGCTCAGTTCTACAATAAGGTTAGGACCCTACTTGGCACATTGAATTGACTCTCCACCAAATACTCAGAATTGTAATCAGTTAGCGACGAAGCCAAAGGGTAGGAAATCTCAGTTTCTAATTGGGGCAATAAGGGCAAAAAAAAAGGCAAAGCTTATTAGTGTTACTCCTCCGGTTTTTAATCACTAACTTGTTTGATTAAAGAAGTTATGTAAGTTAGTTAATTATAAAAAATATGACATATTTTTCTTAAAACACTGTAATCATCTTTCTTCATATCTTTCCTCCCTCTTCTGCTTGATTTAGCCGAGGAAGTATCTATAGGATAATTTAAAAAAAACTGATAAATATGATAAATAAGTCTTATATTTAGAATCAAAATCAACTCAATAAATATATATTAAGGACTGGAGAAGTATTTCTCACCGTGGTTATTTTTTCTGTTTCACTCATTGCCAGCGTTGGAATTTGAGGGACCAAGTTTGTGTCTTGGTTTAAGTCCTCTGACCTCTTTTAAGTAAACACATAATAGTTAGTTTACTTGATGTTTAATATGAAAAAGGCAGAAACTTTAAACCAAGAGACAAACTTTTCCAAATTTGAGTCCCTAAGACGTAAAGATAGGTTGAAATGTGGAACCAATAATGAAGAAGATATGAGACAATGAAGTTGAAGATGAGTAGATTAAGAGGGCGGATGATAAGAAATAGAGGGAATTTAGTATAGTTTAGTTTACAAAGCACCAATGTTTTTAAGACCAAGGACAACGCCGACGCCGATGATGTGGCCGACGGAGCCACACGCCAAGGTGTCGGCGAGGGTGAAGCCGGCAGGGTCACCGGTCTGCAAGCCAGAGTCCCTCGCTTCAAGCTTCAGCCCCGCCGTGGCCTTCCTGTTTGCCGACGGAGCCAACCCAAACCTTCCAGCAAACAGCATCAAGGTTGTTGATGCCACCATTATCTGCTCATCCACATCCACAAGTATATAATCTCATCAAAACCATGAATGGATTTATCTGTGTGGCCTAAGCCTAATCACTGTGTAATTACAAGATTACTAGTAAGGATAGTAATTAATTAAGTTGATTAAACGGAAAAAGTTACCAGATTAGTGGGGGAACCAATGTAATCACAGCGAGCTCCCAAAGCTCCCTGTCCCTTCCTCCTCATGGGCTGCACAGCAACCTGCAAACAAGTTTCTTCATTCGTTATCCCCAGCTTCAAAATCAAACGAGTCTCTTTGATTCTAACACTACCCAATCAGTTCATGAACAAGTAATTACAATCTCATCAGATGCTAAAAATGAAGAACACGGAAACGAACCAGGTTTTGAACAGGAGCAACAGAGACTTTCGGTCTGAGACCAGTGAATTGAGGGAGGGAAGTCATCATTGAGGTCGCCATTTCTGAAATCTCTCTTTCTCTGCGCGAGTTTCTTGCTGACGATGGGATTTTCTAGGAGGTTGTTGTTTGGCCACAGATACAATAATCCCCACAATTTTATTCTGAAAGCAGCCACATGAGGGATTTGTGGCTTCAGGATGAGTGACGGTTTGGATAGACAGAGATGCTGGACTCTGACGTGGCATTGTTTTATTGGGGCCATTGAATGGATAAGATCTTGATCTGCCCCTGTGGAGCTTGATTTCAAGCTAAATAAGCCGAGTGGACATGTCAGCACCATCCTGCTTTCCTAGGGATTTCATGTCCCATGCTAGGAATTTGCATGCGCTTAAATCTTAATTTTCATTGCTAGTATTAATCATATGAAATTTGTAAATAAATAAATATAATGTTACATTAATTACGAAGAATTGAACAATTAAAAAAAAAAGCTAAGCAACATTTTTTAAAAATAATTTCATATAAAATCGAGACAGAATTTTTCTCACATACTTGTTTACTTTGAATACCATAAAATCATGATTTGATTTTCAAACACTTATTTTATTTTAAGCCAATGTTGGTACTCATGTTGCTTAGTATGGTTTAATATTCATTCGATTCTAAATAGAAGACTCTTTTTATAATATAAATTATATGAAAAAATAGGTAAAAAATATAATATAATATAGGGATCAAATTATAAATTAGGCAAAAGTTCTATTGATTGATGACCAATAGTTTCATTTTTCAATGAATAAATTAAAATATGTTTCTACTTAGGGCTGCACATGGGCAGAGCTAGGCAGGGTGGGACCCTTGCCCAATGCCCAGTCCGACAAATGAACAGGCTGGAAAATGCAGCTCATTGCCTAACCCTGCCCATGAAAAGCCTTATTAAGTTTGGGCTAGACAAACACAGGCTGGGCAGGGCGGGCTTCCATGCCCAACAAATCAATAACTAATTATTTATGTCCCTCTAAATAATCTAATGTAACTTTATATTAAAATGACAACTTGGCTTTAATTTTGTTATTGCTAATTAATATACTATAAAACTACTTTTTGTAGTAGTTAGGAGAAGTGGACTATGACAAAAAAATGTTGTTTGTATATTTTATTAGGCTTAATTGTTTTTCTAGTTTCTAGCTCTTAAAATCATTCAAAAATAAATAAGTATAATGAACATTGAATATTGATGCAACAGTATGCTTGATTCAGAAAATAAATATAAGGCAAATAAAATATATATAAAAAAATTATATATATTTTTGCGGGCAAGGCCAAATGGGCAGGGCAGTATACCGTGCCCGATGCCCAGTCCTACCCAACAATTTGCCCAGCCAGAACATGCCCAAAAGTTCTTTTGGGCCTTTTTTTTTTAAGGGCAGGCTGGGCTTTTTTTTTTGCGGGCTTGGGCGGGCATTGCGGGCAACTGGACTTTATAAACACCCCTATTTCTACTGCATTAACTATAGTAATTTTAATTAAAACTGAATAATATATTGATATTCAAGAAGATGATTCTGAAATTTAGGTTAGTTTATTTTAAAAAGAAAAAAAGAAGAGAAAATGATAGACTAAACTCTAAATTATGTTTTTGGTATAAAAAAAAACTCTAAATTACTACTTTCAGTCCTAATTATAAGAGTCAGTTGACTAATTTGAGAAGATTAAAAAAATAAGTTGAGTTAGTTATTTGTCCTAAATAGGTGTTGTTTTTTCTAAAATATCCTTACTAATCAAATATATTGACTAGAACTATCATTGTTAGAAGGGTTATTTTGAAAAAAATATAAATATAAAAGAAAAATAGTTTATAATCTTATATTTAAAACTAAAATAAAAATCAAACAGGATATTCTATTAAAAATAAGAAGTAGTATGTTAAAAAAACTTCTGTCGGGTAAAAAAAAGGAAACTGACCGTACTGTATGGTCACTTGGTCAGAAAACCAGTCTTACATTTTCTTCAGATTGGTTTTACTTCACGTGGACTCACGTGCGGGGAACATTTGCCTGTCTCTCTCCCTAACTAGTCCCTTCGCTTCTCTCTCTTCCCTCTCTCCTTTTACCGGGGTCCCTCTTCCGGTTCTCGGGCGTCCGAGTTGTAGTAACTCTCGAACTCTTTACCTATTCTGTTTTCCCTTAATTTTTGTGTTTTGCTCTCTGTTGAAATGGCAGAAGCATGCGGAGGCTGTAAATCCTGGGTCGATGACATTTACTGGACCCATTTCAAATTTACGCATTTTGCCCTGCGTCTCCCTCCTGGTTTTGATCAACACCTTGTAAGTCTCTTGTTTTCTTCCTCTTTTCGCTGTTCTGCAGATCACTCACTTCAGAAGTATCTGTGAGGAGGAAATTTTGAGTTATCCGTAACTTCTACTCCTGATACCTCCTTGCAAGGTCGGAGCCCTTTAATTCCTTGCATTGCTGTACAGTATCTCGGAGATCTTTTTTACTTTCTTGATTATGTATATATTTTTATCTCTTTTATAATCTTAAGCTATGAACTTTAGATCAACTAGCCTGAAGGGATCGCTACTTTTGTTTCATTTAGTACACTTTTAGTAGTCAACTATTCAGTTATTCCTTTTCTCACCAATTGTAGTTAAGGGAAAATTTGTCAACTTTTTGGGTTCCACCAATTTGAATGAACCCTAGTTTTCTCACTGTAGAGAGGGGAAAGCGAAAAGGACTTTATATAAGGGAACAAGAGGTAGACTGCTTCTCGCATGCTACACGGTTTTTTTTTTTGGGGGGGGGGGGTATATGCTACACAGTTTTTTCGCTCCTAATGTTTCTGATTGAATCTCTACTTCAGTGCTTGAGCCACACATGTATGGATTTAATCTGTTTAATCGCAAGTGTAAACACTTCATGGTATGTAAAAGTTGCTGGAGTAATTAGTCAATTTGTGGAAAGCTAACTGATATACAGGAAATGAAGTTTCTCATAGTTCTGCATTGGCACCCTTTGTTTGAGAAAAGAGAGTGGAAAACTCCATTACGTGCCCCACAATTTTCCAGGCCTTCCTCTCATGGACTGATTGCCTATTCAATGTCACTTTAGCATTCTGTTACCATTGCCACGCTACCACACTTTCATTATGGTAGCTACTTGCTAGCTGATAACTCCCTTTATCAAAATGAGCCTGCATTACATGATCACTAGACCACACAGGACCTTCTCTAGTTTCTAGTTATAGTACTGGTCTCTTTAGGAGCCTGCTGTTAGAGTTTTGAAGGTCATTGAAGCTGTGATCAGTTTCTTCCAATTTCTGTATTGGATGCCTATCGTTGAGGCTCAATTTGATTCAGCAACCCTTGTAATCAGAATTATATGCTACCAATATTTCCCAGCAGCACATAGTTTCTCCTATTTTCAATATGTTGTTAAGTTTTGTTGAGTTTATACCGCAGGCACTTCCCAAAACGTTTTCAGATGGCGTGAAAAGGAAATTGCCAGATAATGTGACCCTTAGAGGCCCTGGTGGAGCTCAATGGACTGTCAGATTGTCAACTAGAGATGATATATTGCATTTCACGCATGGTTGGCAGCAATTTGCACAAGATCACTTTTTGGAAGAGAATGATCTTCTGATCTTCAAGTACAATGGTGAATCACAGTTTGATGTTCTAATATTTGACAAGAAGAACTTATGTGAGAGGGTGGCTTCTTATTTTGTCCGGGACAGTGGGCAGACAAATAAGAGAAACACAGATAACTGTTTTGAAGAAGAAAATGTTAATGTCCCTTCTAATATTGATGTCAAAGGGGCTTCGCCTGAGAAATCTGCACATCGTAAAAAGAAAACGGCTCGTAAATCTACTGTGGAACATACCCCTGCCCAGCAATCTAAGCGGAGAGGAAGATCTGCCCCTATGGAATACACACCTGCCCAGCAAACTAATCGGAGACTGAGAGGAAGATCCAGGGGATCTGATGCGCATGGTGGAGAAATTGAATGGGTTCCTGGTAAATACATACTAAATCTGGGGGCTTGGAACTGTCTGTCTTTATTGCTTAAAAGAAAGGGAAAACTACATTTGATCCCCTTGAACAATTTCACACTTGCAATATTGGTGAATCAACCTGAAAATACAATAATTTGCTCTTCTTTTTCTGAACTTACTACAATGAAAAAATGTAGTTAACCTTCTAATAGTTGACTTGAATTTCTTGTAGTCACATGATTGATAGAAGTCAACTTTTAAGTCTTTGAAAGTTCAAAGGTGCTATGTGATTTGAGAAACCAAGTCTTGACAGTAGTAGAATTAGACTTTCCATATTAGAAGTCCACTTCTCATGTCACAATTTTATTTTGCTCATACCACTTTGAAAAATTATTGTTTTTGTCAAAACAAATTATGGAAACAGACTTTGAAAGGCTCAAAAGATGACTAGTGTCTGTTACATCATTTTTGGCGAGTAAGGTCATAAGATAATCAGAAGTTAACTTGTGATAGCTCAAGAATTAAAGTCTTGCTTTTTGAGTTTCATGTAATTATGTTGTAATTATGATATGGTTCAAAGGGTTAATGCAGTTTCCCTAGAAAGAATAAAGCTATAACCTTGATGATATGTGAACAAATTGGCAACGTCAGCAACGGGGACCCTGAGTTTATATTTGACATAGCTGCTCGTTGCATTAAGTCAAAATAGCATTACGACGAAGTAGTTATTCTTATGAGAAATAATCTTTATTTGTTTATGGTTGCTGCTTTGTGGAACTGGAGCCTTACTTTGGTGATGTTAGTGTTATTTAACTGCGATGAATTTTGATCAGATGCTGAACCTGCATCCATGAGCAGAGATAAGATGGTTGAAATAGTGGATGCTTCAAGCAGAAAGGCCGCCATAGAGGAGGCGAAAAAGAATACCCTCCAGTTGGCTCAAGCAGCATGTACCATGGATGGATTCTATGTTGTCATGCGACCCTCGCATGTATTCCAGAAATTCTATGTGGTAAACTTTGCTTCTTATCTTCTCTTCCCTAGTTGAATGTCCTCTCCTCTCTAATTGTTCTCTGACTTCCTTTTGCTTTATAACCTTAATGAACTTCGGTCTTTACCAAAACTGGTTCCGAGAGATATGCTGTCTGTTTGTGACCCTGTGGGAAGGCTGATCCGTAATTGGGTTTGACACATCTTTCTCAATGTAGTTATGAATTTATCAAGAAATTGAGAGGATCCAAATCTTTTTAATTATTTTCTATTTATTAGAATATGGATCTTTTCGAGCTGTTTCTTGTTGGGTTTGAAGAGATAAGAGAAAAGAAAATTGAGTGGGAGAAAAAGAGGAAGTAGGTTCCATATATACTTCCACCTTTTGTGTTAATTTCTTTCTGCATTCTGCAGGGACTTTGCAAGAACTCTAGAAGATTTTTTTGCCCAATATTTGGTTTTGACTGTATTTTCTGCTCATTGTTGCTTATTAGACAATCCCTACGAAGTGGGTGACACAGCATCTTCCTCCACAATCTGAAGATGTGATATTACGTGTGGGAGAGAGTGAGTGGCTTGCTAAATATGCCTTTGAAGCCAGTCGTCGGAGCGGCGGACTCACCGGCGGGTGGAAACAGTTTGCGCTGGACAATAACCTGCGAGAATTTGATGTTTGTGTGTTTCGCTTAGCAGGTATAGGCAAGAAGCCACTGACCCTTGATGTGAAAATATTCAGGGTTGATGTGGAGTGAAGAATCCCGGAGGGAAAAAAAAACTAACGAGGCCGATTCAAGCATAACAAAATTCTATAGCTCAATGAGTAGGTATGTAATATAATTCTGTGTTTATCTGAGAGGTCATGCAAGTTAATGGTTGTAGTGATCTGGCCGCAGGCTATATTCACGTTTTGCGTGATAATTTTGGGTACAATGCGGTCTCTGTAGATGTCATGTATCAATCAAATCATCTAGCGCAGCTTGGTTTATTTCATCCCTCTTCAGGGGTGTTTGGTAACCTTGAAAATTCAAAATAATAAGGTAAGAATATTTTATAAAACGAAAATTCCCAATCGCCGATGCGGAAGATTCGTGCGCCGCTACTGGGTCAAAATGACACTGAACCGACAATATTTGATGACGTGGCTTCTAACAAAAGTTGTAATGGCGCAATCCGGATTTGAATCCAAGGCTGCAGACATAATTATATTTAAAAAAGAAAAAAGAAAGTGATGAGAGAAAGCAACAATAAATATGTTAGAAAATTAAAATATCAGATGATATATAAAAAAGAAATGATAAATAAAATTATCTTTTGAAAAAATTATATGGTTTAAGGCATTATATTATTTCTCATGTTTAATATAAGAATATAAGATTCAGTTAACTAATTTAGAGAAATTAAAAAACTAAAAATTATCTTTCTTAATCTCTTCATATTAATTAATTGGTCTTCTATTAAGTTCTGGGGATAATAATTTTCTTCTAATTAGTAGATTAGGATGCTTAGCAAAGATTCATTGGACCTCCTGGAGGTGGAATAACATTGGCACCTTCAGCTTTCTCTCTTTCTCAGAATGACAAAGAACCTGGATGACCCAATCTTGCTGCTGCTACTCAGTAAAGTTACTTTCCTCCTCCCTGATACAAACCCCAATTCTTAATCTGTTGCTTTCATTAGAGTACATTGGAAATACTCTTCTCCTTTTCATCTGACAAGATGTTTGGCCTTGCATATAGGTATTTTAAGGATTCAGATTTGAATGAGGCATAATTCAACCCACCATGAACCCGTAATTCTAGCTCCATTGAACAACATTGGTAAGAGAACTACCATGTAATTTACAAAGTGGTAACGATTGAACCAACCAAAGTCGTCTTTAGAATGCAAAATTCGAATTCAAATGTAAAAGCAGGGGACAAATTAAAGTGAAACAGAGTGGGCAAAGGAATAACAATCTAAGGGTGGATGGCCTTGGCCATGGCAAAGGCGGCGGCGGAGGCAATGGCGCCGATGAGAGCAGTCTGGAGTGCACTTCTGAAGGGCTTGTTGCCAGTGAAGTGTCCCTTGGCATAGCCAAAGATGAGCAAAGCCACCAAAGTGACAACAACGGATGCCACAACAGCATCTGTAGCTTTTGGAATGAACATGTAAGGCACAAGAGGCACAAGTCCTCCTAATACGTATGCAACAGCAATGGTCACCGCACTATGTAATGCTCTCCTTGGATCAGGTTTCTCTAATCCCAGCTCAAACCTGCCAAGACAAATAACAATAAACAATTCGGGTTTAAACTAGTGGGAAATCTCTGAACATGATTCTCCTAGTTTAAATAGATGTTGCAGACAAAAATATGAACTTTTCAATGGAAAAGTGATCGGCAGACCATATCTTGGAGTATGATAGCATGTCATATTGTACTGTACAGATGTATGAACTTTTTTTCAAAAAAAAAAACAGTTCTGCCACAATAGAACAAGATATTAGGCCCGTTTAGAATAATTTATAAGTAACTTTTCAGAATACAAAATAAGTATATGAGAATTTTATCTCGACTTACGTAAAATATACTTATAAGTGTTTTCGATCGCTATCCCAGACTGGTCCATTGATGACCTATCCACGTGCACCCATTATAAGTGGGAAGTGTTTGAAAATTGGAACGACGGGTTTTGTCTGCAAGGGACCACGCGCATGAACCGAACTCTGGACCTTTACCGTTTTGTCCCTTTTCAAAAAGTTGGATCCCCCACTCCTAAAAGCCTACCCAATTCACTATCTATCTCTTCTCGTGGATGCCTTTCCCTCTAGGGATCTCAGCGGAGATTTTTCCCCCCCAAACTTTTAGAAGAACCCACTTTTATATCTATAATTAATAATATTTTTTTTCACTTTTTCTTCCTCTAAATATAGTTTATATATTCATGTTTTTAATCCTACTCGATCAGTAATTCAGTATATCTTTCGATCTCTCAGAAAATTCAGTATATCAATTTTTTCTAAATTACCCTTATGAATACTCCCTCAACTATAATCAAGTAAAAGGGAGAAAAGATATTAAGGAAAATTATGGTGTTTTAAGAAAAACATATCATATTTATTATAATTAACTAACTTATCTAACTTTCTTAATTTAATCAAATTAGTTAAATAGGTTTTATATTAAGGATCCTTTCATAAAGACCATGATAGTACTATATAGACACAATACTCAAATATTTAAATTGATTTTTTTAAAAAAATTATATTTTAGTATTCAATAGGTAGTCCTCTTGTTCTATTATTTTCAATGTGTTTCACACAGACTAAGAAAAGCCTTAAACTTTATTAACTCTTATTTAAAATTCAACAACTTTTTAACTTTATTCCTATTTAATATATACTATACCTTATCTAAACAAAGTCAATATAATAATAGATAAAAAGTAAAATTATATATCAATACAAAAAATTTATTTCAGTACCCGATAAATATAATCAAAAAATATTTTTTCTCTCTATCGTAGGACACGAGGAGTATGTGGTAAAAAGGAACCCAAAAGCGCTAACTAGTACTCAATTTAAAACTGTCAGCCTCAATGGTAAACATAGTCAAAAAAATATCCAAGAGAAAAGAAAAGAATGAAGAGAGAAACAGAAAGGAGATTGTGAACTTACTTCATCATGAAATCTAGCCATGCTTGTGGCCTCTTTCTAAGAGCATTAACCACAGGTGCATATTCGTGTGATTCTATTCCATACTGTGCCAGTATTTCCGCTACCTCAGCCGCTTCTAAATTCCCCCAAATAAATAAAAGATGGTGCCAGAAAAAATTAGTAAATTCCGTTTCTCAATAATTTTCTACTCCTACAAGTTTCTGAAAATTAATAGAAAGGAATTACCAATATCAGGCACAGTCACGATTTCTTCTTGCTCCCTCCTTAATTCTCTCGCATAATGATCGGCTTCACTCTTTGCCGCAAGATAACTGCACAATCCATCACTAATTTGATCAACTAAATATACCAAACCGCCAAACCCTCTGTAACTTGTTTGGTTGTCCAGAAAATTTTAAAAATCTATGTTCCTTGGCTTGTAGAACCACATCCTCACAAAACTTTACCAGTCAAGTTCTAATCGAATCTCATTCGCAGCACACAATTTTCCATTTCATTTTCTCTTCGAACCATCAGGGCGTGAAAGATCTGATTCAAGTTCTGAATGGGAATCGGAGATTGAAGGGGGGAAAAAAAGAAAACAAGATGAAAAACAGGATGGAATCAACTACCCGCCGAGACCCATGGAGATGGCGCCGGCCGCGACTTCCGCGATGCCGGCGGTGAGGACGATGGAGGAGGAGGCATTGGCGCCGGAAAGGCCAGCGGCAAGAGCGAAAGGAACGGTGAGACCATCTGAAACGCCGATGATGATATCACGGACGACCTCGCCGGCGGTGAAGTGCTTCTCGGTGTGGTGTTTGAGGAGCCTCTGTTTCTCAGGCTCTAAACGCGTTGTTTCTTGGGTGCCGGCCATGGTTGATTCCCCAAATCAAAAGGAATGGAATGAACTAGGGGGGCGTTGGTTAACGAAGTATTGCTATGTGATGAAACAAGCGGGACATGAAATGATGCGATGATGTTGCCCGCCTCGGTGTAGTTCTGGTAACTGGTATTTTTAGGTCATTTCCTCATATTTATGCTTACTTAAAAAAGCATCATGTTAATTGTTTATTACTATTTTGAAGAAATCAATATTTTACTTATTATATTTTTATTCAATTATAACACAATATTCAGATATTTAATTCACTCTATGTGATTTTGATTTAATTAAAACTCAATTTCAAAAATTCATTGTAACTTGGTACTTATAGTCTTGATTATTCAAAATTTAAGTCCTTAAATCTCATGAAATATATAATTTTATTTTTAAAATATGGCGACTAATAATTAAAATGGTTAAATTATAACAATTGAGTTGGATCAAGTTAAAATTTAAGAACTGATTTATAATCGAATCAAATATTTAGGAAATGCACTGCGCCAAGTTAACGTTTACAAATTAGGTTTAAATCAAATCAAAACTACAAATCTACAATAATTGAAAGATTCATTTTTACTATTATTTTTTCTTTTATACTTATTTAATGTTGATTTGAAAATAGGAAATGATTTTTTAAAAATATACTTGATATGAGTAAAATAGGAATTTAAAAAAGAGTAAACATAATTATAAATTATAAAGTTTTCCCCATTTTGATAAAAAAATTTGAAAATAACTTAATGAGATGTGAGGAAGTACGTGCCCGTTCAGTTCATTGAATCTTTAGAAATGTGATGTACTATAACAGAATCTAATAAAATATAAGGAAAATTAATCTTTTGGTCCCTATAGTTTTCACTCATTTATAATTTTGTCCCTATACTTTGACTCGGTGCAACTTAATCCCTGTAGTTTTGACTCGATTGTAACTCAATCCTTGAAGTTTGACTCGCTGCAGTTCGGTCTCTATAGTTTTAACCATTTTATAATTTAATCCCTCCTTTTATTATATATATAATTTTATTTTTCAAAAACACAAGGACTAAATTATAAAATAGATAAAACTATAGGGACCGAGCTACAGCGAGTCAAATTTCAAGGACTGAGTTACAAACGAGTTAAAACTAGAGGGACTGAGTTACACCGAGTCAAAGTATAGGGACTGAGTTACAAATGAGTAAAAACTATAAGGACTAAAAGATTAATTTTCCCTAAAATGTAATATAATAATAATTACATGAGTTTATTACGTAGAGGGGGTAAAACCATTTAGTTGGATTACAAAGGATATAAGAATAGGTAAGAGTAATGTATCAAAAGAAAAAATTCCCCTTATTTACATATACGAATATACATATAATAATTTAAAGTTGTCTATTTTTTCTCCAAATATATATAATAACTCTATTCACATATGTAACAATAGGTTCAAGCCAAAAAAAAAAAGACTACATAATACGCACAAAATAATAATAATAACAATAATAATATATGTATGTCTATATGCTTCTCAATTATCAGATTCTCCTTTGCAACATATATATATATATATATATCTCACACCAAATATGCATCAGCCATTCAACTAAAGTTTAGTAGTAATCCGTAGCAGTGTCTGTGATTGCCAATAATATATCAAAACCTCTATGAAAGCAAAACAAAAAAGCCTCAAAAAACTGAAATTTTCAGGAGAAAAAAAAAGACGTGACCTTCAATGTAAAAGAAATATAGTAGTGTTAATTAATGAAATGTTAGTCTGGCAACGGAAATAATAATAACAGTGACAGAACGGTTGTTAACGGAGATGAAGACGGCAGCAACGAAGATGACCAAGCAGCGAGTACCAACGACTTCTGTTCCGGGACGACAGTAGCACCAACAAAGACAATAGGAGTAGCGGCAAACGGGCAAAGAGAACGGCTGAATGGGCACCGGCGGGCACTTTAGTCAATTTAAAAAATTACAATGGCAATATTGTCTTTTTAACTCTGTTACAAGAGGTCTGCATTTCTATTCATAAATCTTAATAATGTAATTAGGATTATAAAATGTAATCTTATTTACATTATATAAACTCAACCAAACATAAAAATCACTCTATTACATAAAGATTACACGTAATCCCCTCTCATGAAATCCAACCAAACCGGCTCTACGTTTTTTTTTTTCCCGGTTGCCAGCGAGGGAATACCTTTCATAGATAATGAATGACGAAGAATATGGATCTCTTCACGTCAGCCTATATTCTAATAATCATCTTCAAAATAATAAGTGTGACAAATTTGATTTCATGTCCTAAATGAATTTGACATCTTCTTCTAAAGTAACATAATCAATGCTATATTAAAAAGAAAAATACTACATCTGTACTTTATTATAAGATTTAATTTTTTAAATTGGTCTGTTCTTTTTTATAAGATCTTTTTAGATTTATCTAAACAATAAATACATTTTTATCTACTTTGTCCTTAATTAATATACTTTCTCTCATTATCTTTTTTATCCCACACATTCTCTCCTATTTTTTCTCACTCACACCTACCCACTTATAAATAAGGGCATATTTGATTAAAAAAATAAATTTTTAATATATTTCTTATTTTTAACTAATTTTAACATTTTTTTCAGACTATGTAATATAGTTAAGTAGATCTTATAATTAGGGATGGAGGGAGTAACATCTAATTCAATTTGATTTCCTGAATGAATTTCATATTTTTTTTACGTAATAGTTAATAATAAAATTGTCTTCAGTTCAAAAAAAAGAAAAAAGAAAAAAGAAATATAATCAATGCTATCTGCTTGCAGCCTGTTGGAAAGATTAATAGGCTCTCTCTCTCTCTCTCTCTCTCTCGCCGATGATTAATAGGTTATCAAGATGCTCTTAGGGAAACAAGCACATGTACCAATTTGATTATAAGAAGTTATAATCTTAAACATTATTAACATCAAACCAAACACCTTATATCAAATGCTCATTAATTAGACAGCAATTTGTCACATGGCATCAAAAAGTAAAAATAGAGAGCAATTTACACATATTTGCTTTGAAAGAATTACTACGATTTTTATTACTTTGATCCTTTTTAATTGTTACTTATAATAGTTTTTCATATATCAAGAAGATCATTAAATATATAAAATTTGTTAATGTGAGCAAGTCATGTTTATTGTTCTCTAGAAATTGTCCCCAGCGATTAGAGGAAGAGATTGGTCATATTTTTCAGATTCCGGCAGTTGATATCCCTGGAAACTACTTGGGGCTTCCTATCATATGGGGAAAATCTAAAGCTCAAGCGCTGAATTTTGTTTTCGATAAAATGAAGAAAAGGATCCAAGGTTGGCAGCAGAAGACCCTCTCCGAAGCAGGGAGAGAAGTACTTATTAGATCTGTTGCAAATGCTATTCTGGTTTATCCTATGTCCTGCTTTCTTTTTCCAAAGTTTGTGTTTAAAGGACTTGACAGGATTATCTCTTCCTTTTGGTGGAAAGAAGAAGAAGGGAAAAGGAAAATTCATTGGGTCTCGAACGAGAAACTCAAAATGAAAAAGTTTGATGGTGGTTTGGGTTTCAAGGACTTTGAGGCCTTCCACTTGGTTCTGTTGGCTAAGACTGGCTGGCTTATCTGCAAAACCCAGATAAATTGTGGGTAAAGATTTTTAAGGCTAGATATTTCTCAAGATGCAACTTTATGGAAGCAAAGAAAGGTGGCTCGGCCTCTTGGTTGTGGGCCAGCATCATTGAAGGAAGGAAAGTCTTACAAGGCAATCTCCTGAAGAGCATTGGAAATGGGGAAGATACCAATATTTGGAAGGATCCCTGGCTTGGCAATCTCCTAGGAAAAAAAACTTTTTCACCATGCCCAAATAATTTCCTTGCTAATCCAAAAGTGGCAGATTTGGGAGAAGGAAGGGGATGGAACCTTCTTCCAATTGAACGATGGTTTTAGAGGAGGATAACTTTGCAATTCTTAACACAATTGTTGCTAGAAATAATTGAAATGATAAATGGATTTAGACAGAAGGTAATAGGAATGTTTATGTGGTCAAGCAGGGATATAATTTGGCAAGAACAAATGTGCTGCATAGATATGATTATTTTCCCACTGCCTCTTATAATGATCACAAGAAGTTATGACAAGAGGTTTGGAGGCTTAAAGCTCCTCATAAAGTCAAAAATTTTGTCTGGAGATTAATTTCCAAAGCCCTACCTACCTTTGAGAATCTTGCAAGGAGGAACTGTAACATTACCAATATGTGTCTAATTTGCACCAGTAGTGTAGGGTCCTTGGATCATCTCTTTCTACAACGCCAGTGGGCAAGGCTAGCCTGGTTTGGTAGTCCTTTCATCTTTCTCTTGGATGACAATTTAAATGTTGGTGTGAATCAATGGATTGCTAATTGTGTTTGCGATTTATCTATGTTGCCTTAGCAAAAAGCATCCTTTGCTACTCTTTTGTGGCAAATCTAGAAAGGCAGGAATGCTTTTATTTTTAATAATATCTCTTCTGATCCTGTCTTTGCTTTTACTCAAGCAGGGAAGATTATCTCCGAATTCTGGGAGGCAAATGATTAGCTAAACTCTGTGGCTACAAAGCATAACTTACCTAATCCTCCTCTGAAGGCTGACATGAAGTGGACCCTTCCTGTTGGAATTACCCTAAAGATCAATTCTAATTGTGCCTTTAGTTTAGAAAACAAGTTGGCCGCCTCTATTTTCTTGGTCAAAGACTCAAATGGAGTGTTGCTTGATGGAAGAGCTAGGATTGCTATAGTTGATTCTGCACTAATGGTAGAAGGAATTGCTCTTAATGATGCAATGGAGTACTCAACTGAAAATCAAATTGATGATGTGTAATTTGAGTCAGACAATCAGATTCTTGTCAACTATATTAATACTCAATGATAGCTTTCAAACTGGAGATGTGTTGCTATCCTTGATAATATCTTGGAATCAAGGAAAATGTTTAGGAACCATGTGGTTAAATGGATTCCTAGAGAAGCTAATGTTGTCGCTGATTGGCTTGCTAAGGCTATGTTGGATAGGTCATGCCTAGAAGATTGGGTTTAGAGACCGCCCGCTCCTCTTTTGAAAATCTTGCATCGTGATGTTCATGGGGTT